TGCAATACAGCTCTCACCACAGCCTGCCTGCGCCTTCCACTCAGTGAGAGTTGCTCCCTGGTCTGCCCTGCCCAGCTTGCAAATGTAGCTCATCAGCCTCTGCTTCTTTGCAAATGAACTGCGTAGGTAATGGGAGGAGGAGGAGGAGGCAGCTCAGCAACCTGCCCAGTCGTAAAGGCTCCGCGCTTCTTAGGCTTTCTCGAGTTATTTGCCACGTGAATCGTGTGGGTATAAAACTTTATTGTTTCCCCAAATGCTCTGCCTTTTGCAACAGGAGGTCATTTCCCACTGGGGAAAACAGGCTGTTGATGTGGTAGGCAGTCAGCTTGTCATTTGGATAAGGTCCAGAGCCGATTAGTTTGGGTGCAGCAGTGTGCTAACACAGGCAGAATGCACCCAGACTGGCTCCCGTCTAGATAGCGCCGATCTCCCCACACTGTGCTCCACCATCCCAGCAGTTCTGTGTGAGCACAGGTCCCTTTCCTTGCCTGTGCTGGCATGCCCACAGCAAACCATAATTTGCACCCAGTGCTGCTTGCCTGTGTCTCGATTGGCGGCAAACCCTCCCAAACCAAATAGTGATTTGCCTGTCTGCACTGACTCAGCTATGCTGAAGGCAGGAATCGGAGCTAAATCCGGTTCAGTAAAGTCTATAGGTAAAGAACAGCCTTGCAGAGCACACACTGAAGCGTTTTGAAGGAACTTGACTATATCCCAGGAAGTGCCCTGAAGTGAGCAATGCTGCATTAGGCAAGAGAGCGTACCCAGGAGCCATTAATCTCTCAACATCTGTAGCCCTGTGGTTGTAAGCACTGGGGGGGTTCTTCCCCTGTCTACAATTACTAGGTAGCAACTGGGAATTCAAAGGAATCTGGGCTATCTTTAGGAAGCAAGTACCTACTCTTTGCCTCCCCTCAGGAAGCAAAGTCCTTCATTACAGCCTGCCGTGGCAAGGGGCTCACAGATAAGGAAGAAGGGCAGGAAACCTGCCTGGCTTCATTTCTTTAGCAACTCTAAATATTTTCCCTAGTCCTAGTACTGTGAGTCAGCATTTCTAGAGCCTAGACTTGTTTACAGCAGCAATCAGTGAGATGGTACTAGGTAGGTGGGGTGTGGAGGTATGTGTGTGTCTAAAATGAGAAACCCTTTGCCCAGGCACAAGTGGGGAAGTTACCAACCATTTTTCCAGGATGGGACTACTCGGGAGCAAAGGACTGGATAACCTCAACAGTAACTGCAGTGGAGCCATTTGCAGGGTAAAGAGTTTGCTTGTGTGTGTAAGGGAATCAGAACTTCGCAAAGCTGTATATATTGTGCTGTCTTAGTTCACTTAAAACAAAAAATTCCATGGGACTCTGCAAATATTTAGGATTATTACTATAGTGGGATAAAGGTAACACCTCCCACCTCAAGTGGTTATGGATTCATTTTGCATTGGCCTGGCCAGACTGGCTGCATGGCAGGAAGGCTCCCAAAACTGTACAGGTAACAGACCAAATGCTGAGGTTTCTGTTCAGAGCCCATACCTGCACTGGAATAAGGAACATGAGCCGTGGGATATCCTATATCCCCACACGCAAGCTTTTTGCTTATGCCTGGCTGGTCAGCCTGGGTGGATCTCATGGCAAAGGGAGGTAACATCGAAAACAGTATGGATTATTTTAGATCTGCAACCTCAGTTCTGCAAAGGTATTTATTTTGAAAATTCTAGTTTCCATAGCAATGTAGTGCTGTTCTCTCTCATCTCTCTCCTATTACTCCAATCTCAGCAGCCATTAGATAAATTATCAGCGAGGCAAACCTTAGCATTTTTTTTTATCTTGAGTGATTTTACATATGTTGGTTCCTTGGTGAATCAGAGCCAATCAGTTAGTCAAGGATTGACTCATATCCTTTCCTGGGGCTGACATGAGGTGTATTGCAGTGTAAAGATGATAATGAAGAATGAATATCATTAATTGAACTTGGTGTATGAATTCCTAGGCTACTTTCTGATGTGTGTGTGGGGGGTCTTAATATCTAGAATTCTGGTTCACTTCTAGATAAGTTTTCTATGTTATGTCTTTAGATTTCACTTGTGTTGCACTATAGCTTCATTAGGACATAATATTCTCATCCCATATGTCTAGTAAATACATTTTTTTTGTAAGGGTTGCTGTGTACTGCTATTCAGGTGCTGTTCTCCACCCCAGAGGTGACTTCTGGACAGAGTTCCCCTTCCCATCGTTAAACAGAACTGGCGCTCATGGCTCATTCCTTCATTCTTCTCTTTCAATATATACAAAAAAAAGAAGCAGTTAAGAAAACAAAGTAAGCTCTTCATTTTTTGTTGTTGTTGTTGTTTTTTTTGTTTGTTTGTTTGTTTCCTGGTGCATCTTGTCTTCCTGGTCAAGGAACTACTAATCTTGCCAGAGTGTTTTGCAGGCTGGAATGTGAAAATCCCAGAGTTAACCCTGCAGCAATGATGCATGCAAAAAGCAAAGATGTAGAGATGATTTATTCTGATGGTGTAGTTTGCCTTTTAAGGAGTTGGTTTAGTGAGTTCTTTTGCCTATATGAACTGTATCTCCACCTGGGGAGCTGTGCCAGAATAGCTGCTCCACAAACCCTTTGCTGCAAACAATAGCCTTTGTCCCATAATTCAGTCCTCATGAGTAGGTAGGCAGTGAAGTAAAGAAACTGCGTGGGAGAACAAGAGTGGCACCGTGGACCAGATTCTGAGATAAGGAAGTAGGGCTAAAGATGAGGTGAGAGTTAGCCTCTGACTGTCTTCTGCAGCATTGCCACTTAGTAACTAAAATACCTGAATCTTAAAAATTGGGGCATAGGTCGGTTAGGTTGAAGATGCAAGAAACCCCTCTATGGAATCTAGATATTAACAGGCACCTGCTGCACAGTGACCACTGCTTACCTTGCCAGTCATTACTGGTTTCTGGTACCTTGTGTTTTCTTCCCTGTCTAGCTAGAGCCATCAGCTGTCTGGGTTATATTCAGCTCATGAGTTCTTCAGAGTAGATAGTTTTACTGTGAGTAAATTCTGCCCCCCACTTCTATTTGAGCTCTCCGGGTGCTGGATACCTAGCAGAAACCTCCTCTTAAATCCAAAGAGGTAGAAGCTCATTTGTGCCCTGAAGAATGAGTAGTAGTAATCCTTCTAAAACCTCTATTTTAGATGTTAAATATTTACTTTTAGCTTAATTATGCCCATCCTTTGAGAATAGTAATAATTGCTTGCTCTTCACAGTGTTGCATGTCAGTGAATTCCATATATGTTTTATGCAAAGCCTTAAAAGGTGGTTGCTTATCTCTTAATTTACCTTTTTTTTTCCCCTTCATGTTCTTGTGTTCCTATGTTTTGAGATAAGATGAACAAAAGTTCTCAAACTGCTATCTCTAGGCTATGCATTCTGTAATACCTTCATTGTGGACTTTTTTTATTCACTCAGAGGAGAATGGTCCCAGTCTTTTTAATTTTCCTTCAGATAAGGGCTCTTCTCAATCCCTAATCTTGTAGTCAACCATCATTGCCCTGTGTCACATAATGAAACAGCCATCGTAGTGATAACTCAAATAATAACCCTTCCAGAGTCAATGTTCTGCCGATGCCGGGCATTGTTAGGTTGGAGACCCTGAATCTGAACACAAGTATTGAAGTCCCCACGTGCCAGATGCAAATGTACTCAAGGCCTATTTAAAAAATAATAATTTTTAAAAATCCCTGTTTCAGAATAATAGGTGCTTGGTATCCAAATAGAACAAGAATGAAATGTGACTAACGACCTTGTGACTGTTGTGTTGTATAACAAGATAAAAAGTGCTTGGGATTTGTGGATTGAGCTTTTTCTCATTTGTCTTCCAGAGGTCAAAGTCTACTCCAAGCACTGACTGATACAGTCCTCCACAGGCTAGACTGCCTGTGCGACAGGTCCGAACAGCAGGGCAGTCTTTGCAAGAGCACCTTGGAGGGTGTTTGTGCAGATTTCTTTGTGGTCCCTGTGATGATCCTAAGAAGGAAGAGGAGATCCAGAACTGTCTGAAAGCCCAGAGCCAGGATTCTTTGAAATCCCAGACAAGTCATGATGAGAGACTTGGCCGAGGCCAACCTGCTAGCCTGCTTCCTGTGCTGCTTCTTATATGTGTCCAAGAAGCTGCCTCCAGTTTATATGATTGCACTCCAGTAAACAATTTTTCATGCAGATACGGGCAGCAGATGTTACTCATGCCTGTGTGAAAGCTTCAATGTGTTTACAACAGGGGACGTTCCTCAGATCTAGTCCTATTAAACAATGGATGTAGCCACTAGAAGGAAGTCCCACTGGTTACAGCCATTCTGTTAAAGCTTGCTCAAAACACTTTGAAGGGTGGTCACGCCATCCCTCTTTGGGCACTCGAGGGGATTGACTCACAAATATGAGCAAAATAAAATTAGATGGCTTAAGTGGCTGCAACCCCAGCTGTGTCCCCACTGCCCAACTCCCAGAAGGGGTCATCCCTGCAGCAGGGTTGGCTGAAGAAGGCAACTCCTGAGTTGCTGTAGTGACAGCCCATTCTTAAGGGCATTAATACTTGTCTAGCTCCTCTGTGAAACAGTTCAGGAAGCTTAACCAGAAGAAAAATGTGCACTTCATCTGAAGAATTCTTTTAGTTTAATTTCTCAAACAGGCTCAGAGAAGCACCAGTGTTGCTGCAAGGGCAGGGCAGAGGCAGGCAGGCAAAGGGGAGCAGCTAGCTCTTAGTTTTGCTGCCTCACAAAACTATGCCCTATAGTTCCTATAGTTATTTTGGTGCTGGGCTGCCTTAATTTTCTGGAGAGTGAATGAAGGATTAAAGCAGTGTGCTTATGGCGTTTGGAAGTTAAGTTTTTAGAAGAAAAAAAAAATCTTAATTCAGCATGTGCTATTAGGTGGAAATGCTTAAATTGTTAGGGATGGGAAAGATCCGTGTCCACAGTATCCATTCCTACAATTCAGTTATGGGTTAAATCCTTTTTTTTTTTTGGGGGGGGGGGCTGCTTTTTAAGAACTCTAACCCAAAGTCTCTATCAAGCTATGTCTGGATAGGGAAGTCTTTAAAGAGACCAGCTTTGTATCTATAAATAATGCACACAGCAGAGTACAAAAATGGAGTCAAGGAGAGGCTCCACCTTACCTGAAGGTAATTGCAGAGGCTGGTGTTGTGAGCTCCATGGCGCTAGCTGTACCCCTGGTGAAGCAGAAGGCTGCAAGGAGCACTGTCACCCCGTCATCCATCTCAGCTAAACTGCTTCTGAGATCTGAGTCTTCCTCCAACATTTGAATATCAGCTGGTAAATCACAACGGCACTGAAATACTCTAGATTTCAGGGGCCAAATGTGGCAAGTTTTGAATAGTACAGTTAAACATACTTGGAAGTAAACTTCTCTTTGACTGCTTTGTTAGGTTGGATGTGTTAGAATACAGAGAATTTTGCAAGTCTGACCCCTTGCTATAAACAAAAACACTGTGGCAAAAAAATGTAAATAAATGCCACACATACTTTGCATAAGAGCCCTTCCCAATATCTATAAATATGGTCACTTTGTTTCCCAATTTTGAGTTTTAAACAGGAGACAGACACGAGAAATATTACAAAGCCAGCATTTTTCTTTTCATGGATTAGTTTTATAGTTTCAACTTACCCTAAAACACTTAATGGAAATTGAATGTAGTGGCTTAAAGAGGATTGCCTTTGCAAGGAAGTTATTTGTTCTTAGAAAATCACTAGAATAGCTCATCAGTTTAACTGCATTTTCATACGAATTCAAAACTCATCTCGGGTCAGACTCTCCAGGAAAACTTTCTCGTGGTTTCTGTAGCAGTTGATTCATTCCTTGCTGCCTTCATTTTGCAGCTTTAAATGGCAGGTTCTCTGAAAAGCCATTGACTTCAAAGCTTTATAAAATAAAGCTTTGAATAAATCACCGAGTTAGAAATTATGCTGGCTGTGCCCAGCTTTGTGCCTGAATGTAGGAATACTTGGGACTGGATGTGAAATTACAAAGAGAATTACCTTTTCCCTTTGCCTGAGATGCTGCTGCCTTGTCAAACTCAAAGAGCAGTAAGAAGGAAAACTGCTGCGAATGAGGCTTGGAAATCTCCTATTTCCCTCTCCCACAGAGAACACTTCCCAAACAACTTTAATATTAATACACAGTGTAAGTGGTGCAACGGTTTGCTAGTGATGGGATTAATACGTAGTTTCTGAAGACTGCATGTCCCAGCATGGCAGGTAGGAGCACTGGGCTGCGGTGCAGCGCTGCATGCTGGCACTTGTAGTACCTTTAAAAACACATCCCTGCAGTAAGTGGGGCCCGACCCACCTTGCAGATGTGGGGTTACCGCCTCGGGGGGTGGGACACCCGCGCTTCCTTTGTTAGGGGGGTTCCTGAAGGTGATGGGCCCCACGCTGTATTATTCGGCGTTTTTTAAAATCCGTTTTTGCAAGCTTTAGATAGTGTAACACTGACAACATGACACTTGTAAGCTGTAAAATAGTTGCTTTGTCTTTCATGAAGAGACAACCCACTGCCCTCTGTATTTAGATTTCTGGTGTATGTGTATGCAGAGCTACTTTGCCCATAATTGCTTTCTTCAGAATCTTTTGAAGTGCATGTCTTCAAGCTGGTTCCTTATATTAAAAATAAATTCTTCCAAGCCACCAATAAAATGTCAACTGTGATTAAAGCCTGACTCCTCATTTTAAGACTTGTCTCCTAAGCGATGTGAGGTCACTCTGTGAGTCAGCGTTTGAAAGGACCGTTATTCCTGAGAGCACGGGCAAAGCCCAAAGTTCATAGTTGCTTGCTTAAATGGTTTCACTGCATTTTAAATTGCTTTGCGTTGTGCTGAAAGAAATGTAAACTGTGGGACCCATTTGGCACAGAACTCATATTTCAGGTACCTCAAATCTTGGAAAAAAAATCATCTAAATGTAGAAGTTGGTATTTCTGGTAGGAAAAGTTCTACCTCCTATGTATTAAAGAGGAGGGGGGAGTGGGAAGCTGTGCTCAAGGCATAAACTTTCAACTATGTTATGTTGAAATAAAACTTGGGAACAGTAAAATCTCTGGGCAGGGGCTCTGTCCATTGTACAGTGCCCAAAGTCTGATAGGGCTTTCCGGAGATGGAACTTTATTAAAATACTAAAAAAATACAGCAGGTAATACAAGCCCTGAGAAGCGAGGAAGTAATATTTTTAAGATCTTCTACGCAGCCTGTTTATTCTTTTTGTGCACATTAATTGTAACAGTCTTTAATTACGTGATCACGTTTTCTTTTGTCACTCTTCCACCCTCTTTGCTGTGGTGCACACTCGGAGTATTTGGAGGTAATTAATCACACTGGCGTGGTGAATAACTGGGCGCAGGACTCTGCCTCTGACTCCAGCCTGAATGTGTCAATCTCGTGTCTCCCCATCCCTCTCTCTCTGCTCTTTTTTACCTGCTTTCCTCATTAACTCCTGCCTCGGCTCCTCACTGCTCCGCGTTCAAATCAAACCCCTGTCTCAGCGCTGCCCGGGCGCCTGCGGAGAGGAGAGAGCCCTGGGCTCTGGTCGCGTTCTGCCTCGGAGGGACCGGGAGAGGCAATCCGAGGGGAAAGCCTTGCTGGCCTTTTCCTCCTGGGGCGGAGCAAGGAGTTCAGGTCATTTAGCTGCCGAACACCCCCCCTCGAACGCGCTCCAGCGGGGATTATCGGCGGTTTGAGACCTGTTACAAATTTGAACACGTTTCAAGTTGTCATCCCCCCTTCCACCCTCGGGCTTTCCAACAACCTGACTGTGATATTTTTTTTTTTTTTTTGGGGGGGGGGGGGAAGGTTAATCAGTCAAAATCTCCAGCGCTCCTCCGCGAAGCGGGCAGGAACGTTTGTCAGAACCCGCTGTTGCCCTCACCGAGGCCGGTAAGTCGGACACGCTCGGCCAAGGCAGCTCACCCCGCCGCCCTTCCCCCGCGGCGCTGCCGCTGCTCCCCCTTCGCATCCTGAAGCAAATCCCCCCCCCAGGCCCGACGGAGCGGCGGGGGAAGGAGATGGCTCCGGTTCGGTAGCATGGCGGGGGGGGGGGGGGGGGGGGTGAAGCCGTCCCGCTCCGAGGCGGGGAAGAGCCGGGCGCTTCCTTTTCCGCCGGGGCGGGGCGGGGCGGGGGGCGGGCGCGGCGGCGCGGCTCGCTGATTGCAGGGCGGGCGCTGCCAGTCCCGCCGCCTCCCCCGCGCCAGCCGCGTCCCAGCGCCGGAGCCGCACGGGCCCAGCAGCGAAACCCTCAAACAACATCCCTCCTCCCCCCCCCCCCTTTTTTTTTTTTTTTTTTTTTTTTTTCTTTTTTTTTTTTTTTTCTTTCCTCCTTTCCTTCTCCTCTCTCTTCCTTTAGCCGCCCCCCATGGAGGAGCAGCCCCACCACCATCACCACCATCATTATTATTACTACGGCCACCACCACCACCACCACCACCACCCCCCGCAGAGCGCCTACCTGCCGCCGCCCGACGGCCGAGCCCAGCCCAAGCCGCCGCTCCGACACGAGCACAAGCACCAGGACACGCCGAAGCGGAGAACAGGTCCGGGGCGGTGGGCGGCGGAGGGGGGGGGGGGGGTGCGAGCGGGTCTGGGCCTGTGACCTTCGCGGGGTGGCGGCGGCGGGGCCCTCCTCCTCCTCCTTCCTCCTCCTCCTCCTCCTCCTCCTCCTCCCCCGGCCCGGCTGGAAGCTTCTCCGCCGCGCTGGGGCCGCTTCCTGTCCGCCATGTTGGGGCCGGCGCGGCTGCGGGAGCGGCGGGGCCCGGTACCGCCACCGCCCGCCGGGCACGTGGGGCCGGGCCGCGCCGCCCTGAGGGGCCGCTGCCCCCCGCCCGGGCCGCGCCGAGGGGTTTTTTTTTTTTTGTGTGTGTGTGTGCGTGGGGTGGGGGGGGGGGGGTGATGAAGGGAAGGGGAGGCGCCGGTTAAAAATTGATAAGCGTAAAAAAAAAATCAATGAGTCAGATAAGGCGGAGGGGCCCGGCCCCGCCGGCGGGAGCGGGGAGGCGGCGCGGCCTGCGCCCGGTTTTTGAGGGGGATTTGAGCCGCTTTTTCCCCAAGCGGGGCTGGGCGGGAGAAGGGCTGTGCCGTACCGGAGCCCTGGCAGCGCCGCAGAGGCGGTGGCCGGGCAGCCCGGGGGGGGGGGGGGGGGGGGCTGCTCCCGGGCAGGGTCCGAGTCCCCGCCACGGTGCTGGGGGGCTGCCTGGCTGCGGTGTCTTAAAAATAATAAAAAAAAACACCCAACACCCTTCGGAGGCTTGTGTGGGTTCAGAGTGCGTGATTATAAGAACAGTCAGAACGCCGTATACGGTTTTTTTAATTTTTTTTTTTTTTTTTTTTCACTTGAAATTTTCATTTACATAACCAGGCGGGATGTGGGAAGGGACCTGGCTGGTGTGGGGAGTGGGGCTGGGGGTGCCCCCTGCGCAGCCTGCGGAGGAGGGTAGGGAGGGACCTGGTCAGGCATACCCTAAAATAAGTTACTGAGCAAAAATAAGTTGACTAGTCATTTCACTGTTTGCAGTCTGCCCGGGGTTTTAATATGCTCTTACCCTGACACCCCTCCCTTTCCAGCTATGAAACTGTGAGGTTGCCAAATGCTCTTCACCTCTACATTTTTACATCCTTTCCCCCCCGCCCCCCCCCCCCCCAAAAAAAAAAATATTTGTTGCTGCACCTCAGTGTCCAGGCCAGAGCCAGCTGTGCCAAATGTTGATTTGGAGAAAACTCAGGCAGCTGAGTTGTGGATACTTGAAAATTGGAACTAGAAACTGCTGACACACTGCCTTACTGAAATGGATTTTGTTCTTCATTTTATTCTTTCACTCCTCATCTGCAATGGTCTTATGACCACTCTTACTGTTTTGTTTCATTAATGAGTGGTGTCAGAAGTCTTGAGTCATACATGGTCAGCTATAACACGTTGTGCTTGAGAAGGATTCCTTTGCACGTTATTCTGAAATGCTTAATTTTCAGTCCTTGACTCAGCTGAGAATCCCATCCTAGCAGTTTTCTCTGGGATGGAGTATTTATGGTTAATATTCTTAACAGCGTATTTGAAAGTTATAGTGGAAGTTGTGGTGGTTACAGATACTTGCGTGTAGTAAAATCCTTTTTGATCCCTCTCAGCAAACTCAGTTGTGGAATTTCTGTAAAGATTCCTACAAGGATTCCTGTGTTCCCGACTTGCACAGAACTTGAGCAGTTACATCTGCCAGACATCTGAGGCTCCAGGATGTGAGGATAACAATGATTTTTAGTATAGCAGTTAATTACAACAACAAAAACAGCCTCTTTCAAGCTGGGGTTTTGCCCGCTCTCGTTCTTGGGGCACTCGGTGCGCTGTGCTGACCACGCTGCCGTGGCTGCAGATGAAGCGTTAGGTGGGTCAGTTGTTACTGGAGGCGTAGGGCTTTCCACCCTCGGGAAGGAGGACAGATGAGTCAGAGGAGGAGCCGGGATAGTGTTCTTCCCGGAGGAGCGGGTGCAGCAGGAGGGAGTCCCTCTGCTCCGTCCACAGTTGAGCTGGGTGCAGGGTGGTCTTCCTGTTTCTCCCGGGAGCTTCAAGGCTTCTGTTGGGGTATTGTAGCCAGGGTCCTCAAAAGCAATAGGCCTCTGGCCAGAGATTTTTTAAAAAAAAAAAAAAAAACGGAAGGTGAAGTGGTTCAGCCTGGACTGTCCGGGGCTTCCAGCTTCACTTAAATTTCACTCTCAAGATTCACTTCAGAATCGTAAGGCCTAGAAATGAACTTCAGAAGCAAAAAGAAAAGCTGAGTGTTCTGCATAATCTAAGGGTTTGATGAGTTGGAGCCCTCAGCAAGTATTTTATTTCTTGGGTCTCAAGCTAGTACCAGCTCTCCCAGGGACTCTGAAATACCAGGTTTCTCAGTGAGCAGACCAGTTGCTGGTAGTGGTGGAAGGGTGCTTGAAGGGATTCGGTTCTTCCCAGTTTTATCACCTTTTCAATGCTAACGAGCACGGCAGTGTTGGTTGCTATCTCTAAATGAAATACGGTCACCCTTTCTTCCCTCCGCCTTTCAACTGGACTTGCACATGTCCTTTTGGAAAACAGCACAGCGCTTTGCTTTTTTTCTTTTTTTTTTTTTTTTTTTTTTTTCCTCTTTTACTAGAGATGGCGTTTGGGAGGAGGGTGGGAAGGAGGGTTGGTGGTTTTGCAGGCCTGGGAGCCGATGGAGGTGATAGGACTTGGCCCTTGTCACAGTTTGGATTCTGAACTTCACCAAATCTTGTAGCAAAGGCAGCAGATCCCTCTGTCTTGATGTATCCCGGGAATTATCTTTTTTCCTCTGTGACCTGGAAATAGTAGCTGATGAAATAGGTCTCCAGCTTGCTGGTGATCTTTCAGTACAGTATATTTTCCTTACATAGTATCTGCATATACTTTGCTTTGTTTTATCACCTATACATCACCCTGTTGTATGAGAGAGTCAGTAGCTGCTGGTACTTTATGCTTAACCCTTCTTGCTGTGGTTCGCAGCAAATAAACATACGCTTCTGAACATCAGAGACTAGATGTTTTCCTATTTTAAAATGTCTGCTTGAGGAAACTGGATATGTTTTGGGCTGATTACAGCTTTCTGCAATCAGAAGTTTAACATTTCACATTCTAATTCTTGTCTTTTGTTGGTTTTGGCTTTCTTCTAGGCTATGGAGAGCTAAATGGTAACGCAGGAGAAAGAGAAGTGTCATTAAAGGGCCTGTGCTCTGATGAAACCACCACCCCAGGATCCAGGGTACCCAATGGCAGCCAGCAGCTTGTAGACACTAATGTGACCCCAAAGCAGACTGTGAAGGCCGGGGCTTTGGGGAAAGCTGGAATCAAACCCAAGAACTTCATTCAGAAAAATAGCATGGACAAAAAGAATGAGAAGTCCTACGAAAATAAACTTAGAGAAAGCCAGCCCTCAGACAAGCCAGAGGGAGTGTCTATTCCAAATGGTGTGGTAACAAATAATTCTAGCTATATCACGAATGGCTACGTAGGCAAAGGGGCCGATAACGATGGTAGCGGCTCCGAGAGTGGATATACTACGCCTAAAAAACGGAAAGGCAGGCGCAACAGTGCCAAGGGTTGTGAGAACTTGAATCTAGTACAGGACAAAATAATGCAACAGGAGGTCAGTGCACCAACCTTGAAACAGGAACTTGAGAGTTTCAAGTCTGATTATAGTGAACAAAAGGGGAACCGAATTGAAAATACTAAACCTGTTTGGAAATATGAGGCTGGGGCTGGTGGAGCAGGCCGGGGGAAGCCTGGGCTTGGGGATGTACAGCGAAAAAACTCTGATGCCAAACCTGGGATTAGCAGCAAGAAGTTTGATGACCGGCCCAAGGGGAAGCACGCATCGTCGGCTACATCTAAAGAGGACTCATGGACCTTATTTAAACCACCCCCAGTTTTTCCAGTGGACAATAGCAGTGCTAAAATCGTTCCCAAAATAAGTTATGCAAGTAAAGTTAAAGAAAACCTCAACAAAGCAGCTCAAACCCCATCCACGTCGTCTTCGTCATCTTCATCATCTGCTGGGGAAACTCAGGCCCAAACATCTAGTCGACTGTCCCAGGTCCCCATGTCTGCTATGAAATCTGTTACTTCTGCTAGCTTCTCGAATGGGCCCATTCTAGCAGGGACTGATGGAAGTGTGTATTCTCCAGGGACCCAGCCACTGCTCTCAACTGCTGCTAGTACTGTACCATCAACCTCCTCTGAGTCGGTAGCCCAGGACATGAGTACAACTTCAACCACTCTCGAACAAAAGAAATCTAGCCTTTTTATCTACCCTTCAAATATGCAAACTGTGCTTCTGGGTACAGCGCAAGTCGATTTCCCATCGCAGACGAATCAGCAGAACCTGGGAGATATCTTTCAGAATCAGTGGGGCTTGTCTTTCATAAATGAGCCCAGCGCTGGGCCCGAAACTGTCGTAGGGAAATCTGCGGATAATCAGTTAATGGAAGTGACATTTCAAGGGGAATATCCTGCCACTTTGGTTTCACAGTGTGCTGAAATCATTCCCTCAGGAACTGAACAACCTGTGTTTCCTAAGGCTTATGAGCTGGATAAACGGACTAGCCCTCAAATTCTTAGTGCTATTCTTAAGCCTGGGACTGCTGTTGAGGGTGGTGTCTTAGCTTTGGAGTCGCATCACACAGGTGACCTACAAAAGGCAGACACCGGTAGCCAAGGTGCTTTAGTGTTTCTTTCAAAAGACTATGAAATAGAGAATCCTCTGGCCTCTCCCACGAACAATTTGCTAGCCTCCGCCAAAGAACAGAGGTACCAGAGAGGCCTAGAAAGGAAAGATAGCTGGGGTTCTTTTGACCTGAGGGCTGCTATTATATATCACACTAAAGGTAATGGTTTAACTTGCTGCCTAAGGGCATTCTCTTTTCAATTTTTCTTTTTTTAAGTGCAATATTCTAACATGATATATTCCTTACAGCAATTCTGATTGTTTTAAAAATGAGCTTTTTGCTTACGTGTCTCTAATGGCAGTAAGGGTTTGGGAAAATTATTCAAACAGTTGTTTAATTAATGTTAAGAGGTATTTGTTTCCCTATTCCTGTGGACAAGCGTAAGTGATGTTGGTGGGGATGATACTTGGCTAGTGTGTTTTTAACTCCTATGGAATGAATGGATCCTCCTAAGCTTCTCAGCATTGGAAGGAGTTAAATGTGTAGGTTTATCTGCTGGGTTTCAGCTTTACCAGGTGATATTCTGTCACTGAAAAGGCTTCATAGTCTGTACTCACACCTCTACCACCAAAGTGTTGCAGCTTCTCCCCAGGGCAGATCAGGCCATGAAATCATGGCTTTGAAGGAAGAAAAAAAATATTCCTACATTTTTTCAATGTGATTTATTTTATTTTTAAAGCAACCCCCCCACACACACTTTTCCCCTGCCCTTCTTGAGCATTGTGGCAACAGCAAGACAAATCTTTGCTTATCAACTCTACTGTGAGCTGCAGATTGAATTCTCTTGTTGTCTTTGTAGGCCAAATCTTTCAGATGATTTTATTGCTTTCATGAAGTCCTTTGTAGACCAGCTCCTTTTTTTTTTTTTTTTTAAAGACTGAAATGACTCAAACATGATACAAACACTTTAAATTGGGAATGAAGAGAGGGAAGCCTGTGGGATGGCTTGCTTTCTGTTTTAGCCTCAGCCCCAGAAGCTCTGAGGTCTTGTGGCAGTTCTTGGCTTTTGGTCTTGGCTCAGTCTTAACAGGAGCCTGATTGCACGTTCCCTTTTGGCATGGCGTTACTTGTGTTACTCACACAGGGGCAGTTCCTTTTTTATTTGTCTGCCCCTTTCCTCTCCCTGCATCCCCCTACCCTGAAGGGAAAAAGGTGATCATCCATTTTTTGTTTACTCCTCCACGTACGTATGTGGATAATGTCTTGCTCCCATCTGCAGAGAGGTTGGTATTTGGTTGACATTGACAAATTTGCTATGTTTTGACCAACTGCAGAGTTCTTAAATTACCTGTTCACAATCTCTCTGTATAGCATACAGAAACTTAGATGCCATCCTTTAGTAACAGCAAGCCCAGTCACTTAAAAGTAATAACTCCAAATATTTTTTCCAGGTCATCTCACTCTCAGAACGTTAACATTTTAAGCTTTAGTATTCTTGAGAACAGCGTTCATCAACTGATTTTTTTTTTTTTTTTTTTTTTTTTTTAAATCTGGGTTCTCTAGCCTCTGCTCAGTCTGTTCCAGTATTAAGACAAGCTTTCCGTTCTCATTTCTTGTGTCTGCCTGCAGCCTAAATCCCAGTTTCCCATCAGAGAATGGGGGTACCAGAAAGCATGGTATAGTGTAGAAGGGAAGTCCTAGGCTCTTCTCTTAAGTTTGCAAATTTTTCCAACGCTTAAGTTTGTCTCTCTGTTTTTGTCAGCCTGAACTTTCTTGTAGAAAAGCAACTGTACAGCTACAGCAAGACTCATCAGCTCTCCCTTTCTCACTAGCTGTGTGAAAGACAGACCTCAGTAAAACAATAGTAACAACAGGAAAATAAAGAACACTCCCTTCCCCTGTCCTCTTAAAGAGGTGTTAACTTCGAAGTCTGGCTTCGATTATCTCTTCTAAACACAAGAGTTAGTTACATTCAATGGCAAGAATGGACATCTAAAGCACTCTTTTAAATACTGTTTTCTTCTCGGTCCCTGATTCTGCATGTGAATGCTCTTGCTTTGAGCATCCAGAGCAAGCACCCCTGTGATGCCCTGGGGAAACGATTCCTGTCCCACTGCTCCTCTGTGCGGATTTATTTTTCAAGCTGTATCAGTGCCACCATCAAGGTATTACTTAGGTGTAAAAGGTGATGGATGTTTCTAATCAGTGTTCACATTAATGCAGTGATAGGGGTGCTCCAAGCAGCTTGAGCTTGTCTTTCTCTGACTTAGTCTTCAGATGCTGTTGCTGGTTTACAAAGCAGGAGATCAGTCCAGGTCTTTATATCTCCTCTGTGATGATGTTGGGTGTTGCATTTCTGTGTGTGTTCCCGTCGGGTGGGGTGAGTTGGGTTAAAGGGTATTGGGAGGAACGGTGCCTTCGTCTCTGTGTCCCCTCTTCATGGCTATGATCCTGCAGCCAGAGCCCCACGGGTGAGCTCCCGTGGCACAGCGCGCTGCAAAACGTCTGGGAAACGGAGCTGCCAGGGTATGTTTGCAGGACAGCAGCGCAGTGGTTAATTCCCACAGCATTCTCTCCGTTTATCTTGGGCTGTTTTCCTGAGGTCCTACTCCTAGCCAACCGGTTCCTTTGCAATAGGAAAGGAAAGATTTCACTTGCTTACTTTTCACCAGCTGCCTTCCCCTCCTCCTCGCCTGGGAGAGCGTGCAGGTTTGCCTGGACCAGTGTTAGGGTGTCCCGGGCAGTTGGATCCTCAGCTTGTTTGGTTTTGATTTTGAGAGGAGGGTGAACTTCTCCCTCTTCAAATTGATCTGTTTGCTTTTGAGCAAAGTCTCCATAGTTTGATCTTTTAAATCTGCCCTGCCTCTGAGGTTATGGACACAAAGAGGAATGATTGCAGGGCAAGGACAGGGGTGAGCGTGGCACACTGGTGCATTCCCTACCCTGAGCTCCTCCATGTGCAGTAGTTCAGTGCAAGCTGCCCATGGTGCGAGGATGAAGCTCTGGGTCTTGCAGTGGGGAATGGACTCTAGCAGGAGTGGCTGCAGTGCTTTGACCTGTCTGTTGCAAGCTTGCACCTTTTTTTGCACTGTTTCTATCCGTAGCTGTGATCAGGTTATGTGGCTCCTCACCTTGGACTGTAAATAGACAATGGGAAAGCCTCCAGCTTACTCAGGAGCTTTGTTCCAGCAAACCAGGCTTTTCTCCTCACGATTTGCCCAGTGAGTGCAAGGGGCATTATAGATTGTAATTGCTCCACAGCTTCCCTGGGAAAGAATGGATGGAAGAGGTAAGGCACAGGGTGGGCTGGCTCTGGTACAGTAATCTTGTTTAAACCACCACAGCGCCGTGTGCGCTGGCGAGGCTGTGCTGGGGCGTGGGGCTGCAGAGCAGAGGGCCTGCTGGTGGGAGCTGTGTTCCTTTCGTGTGCCCACATTGCTTTCTTCCCAGAAATCGGGGCACTGGGAGGGTGCTGGCAAGGCTGACGATGTGCCTTCCTGTTCCTCTCTTGGATGCTTTTTGTGCTGTGCTGGTTTGCTCTGTGCCTTGCTTTTTTTTTTTTTTTTTTTTGAAAGGATGGAAAGACTCCCTCGATCATCTGATCTGCTTGACTTTGACTAAAATACAATCCTTCAACGTGGCTACCTTCATTGACAGTGTGTGCTGCTTAGTGTTTGTGACGGTGTCTTGAAACACTTGCGGGTGACATACCTGGTTTATCAAGGTAGATCTGATTTAGTTGAGCACCGGTGGCCTTACTCTCTGTGGATGGAGGCAGGGACAATAGCTTCATGGGGCAGATTGGAAAGACCAGAGAGGAGTGATGCTCTTGCTTAGGAACACTGTTCCTATCTAGGTTAGAATTGAACCTCTGCCTCAGTGTGGCCAAAATCCTCATCTTTTTGAGGTAAAACTGGTCCTAGCTGATTTTTTTGGGTCTTTTAAAAGAGGAGGCTGGGTGTATCTCAGTTTTACTTCTCTTGAAATCAGAATCTTAACTGCTTTAGTCTTCCTTTTAAAGACAGCTGGACAAAATGCTTCATATTGGAATAATTGTCGATGCTTTGCAGAATTTTGACATGTTTGGACAGTTACAGGCTTCCAGGCTGGGCTGTCTGTCACTAACACTGTGCTCTGTATGGCAAGCTTTGTGGTGGGAAGCTCAGTAGTTTGCTTGTTCTTAGCTAAAACACACATAATTGAGGTCTTCAGTTCAGCTGCACAGTAGCAGAGACCACAGGGGTGGAGAGGAACGTGCAGTGTTTCCCTCTTCTGCCTTGCCCCTGAGTTTCTGCCTGTGCCACTGCTTTGTTCCTTCTCAGCATCTCAGTTGCGCCAGCATCTCTGCTTGCATGAAGAAGCAGAAGAGCAGCATGGAAAATAGAGCAAGGCAGCGTGGGCCAGCCAGGAGTGGCGTTCGCCGGAATGGTGAACTGGGTCAGAAGAAATAGCAGAGCTGTGAATTCAGCAATTTCCATCCTTTACATCAGGAGAGGGGAAAAAAAAGCCTTGGTTTCCCATCCCCCTTGGTGGAAAGGGGTTAGATCTCAGTCTGTTACTTACTGTCTTGTGGGCCTGAGCGGTGAGGCAAAAGCTGATTTAATTCTCCTTCAACTCTGCTTTTTCCAGTTGTTAGGATGAGTACAGCAATGAGTCTCCACAGCATTGAATTTTCAGTCTATGCTTTGTTTCCGGGGCAATTCCCATTGTGTCCTGCAGATAGAAACAGAAAAATCAGATGAGAATGGTCCCTCTTAATTTTTTTTTAGCACTTCATTTTAGGGACAGTCGTCAGTTTGTATGTTAGACTTGTAAGAACAAAAAACTAGTGCCACGGCATTGTGCAGACACTTCTGTTTGCTGGGACAGCCTCTCTAGCAAGGAAAATGCGTGTAAAAGCGCCCGTCTCAAGTTATGACAGAAGGACTTTTCCCCTACAAGGGTATGTACAAGTCCCTGCTATAAAGTTTATTGACCTATGAGGAATCTCAGTGCAATTCGCCCACGTGCTCCTTAGTCTGTTCCTGACATCAAAGCCTTCTTCCACTGACCCTTTGTTTCGGTGATAGTCCCCAGAAAATGTGGTTCCTCTCTCTGGAGCTCCTCTGGAGCTCATCAGATGGATGTGGCTGGGGCTGTCTGCCCCAGGCAGGTCCTCAGCAAACCATGAGCCAGAGGCCTGTGGTAAGTATCCAAGGAAAAACTTTTTTTTTTCCCAAGTGTTACGTTGCAGTTAGCCCTCGACTTATATTTTTTTTTTTCCTCTGTGAAGTTGTTTGGGATGATAAATGTGCTTAACCTGTGCTATGTCATACCCATGTGCTGCTGGCCAGGTAGAGGGGAGGACAGGACCTTGCTCTTCTGATGGCAAATGATATTAAGCAACAGTTGATACCGCAGCCAGTTTGCAGGTGGTCTTTGTTTTTGTAGTTTTGTCAGGCTGAGCAGCTGCCAGCCAGTGTGTCCAGGTGTTTGGGATTTACAGGACACTTTACATCACCTTCTCTCCTACCTCTCTTTCTGAACAAGGAGAATGAAGATTGAAGTCTGAAAAGATTGGGAAGTTTGGGTGTTGGTTTGTTATTTGTTTGTTTGGTTGGTTGGTTTTTTTTAATGGACTTTTGACAGCTTAAAAGTTTTTTTGGTGTGGTTTTGATGGTATCTCACTCTCTATCTTATTGTCAGGCACATCTTAATACAAGCAATTCACATTCTTCTGGTGTCCAGTGAAGTTAGGACCAAATGGAAGTGCAAAAGAAAGCATGGTCTTTTGCATGGAAATACAGTAGCAGGCAGTGCTTCAGCCTCTGCCTTGTATTTGATGTTCAGATGTTGCTCTGATGCAGAAGAACCAACTGGAGAGTAATTTTCTGTCTCCTGCCTTTGGGGAAAGCTGTTAAAATAGGTGATGTTCTTTAGCAGTTAGGAAATGATGCATCTAACTTCACTGAATGGAAAACTAGCTCTGCTGGAGGTAATTTTAGTAGCTGGTTCATTTTACTTCTGGGGAATCTGCATCTGGCAGATGAGGGAGGTAGTCCCTTGCTAGTTTGCTTCTATCCCTGGGGGTGTTAGAGGCTAGTTACTATTCCCAAAGCACTTAGGGTTCCCCTGATAAAGTGCAAAGTATTGCTGCTGTTACCGTGATGCAAAAATAACAGAGCTCGTAAAATTTTGTCAGGGCCTTCCTTACAAAAGACTTAATTGTGCAGAGAGGGCTGGCAATATTTATTTGCATGCAATTTCCTGCCCCGGGGAGCTTGAGATTGTAGCGGACAAAGGACAGATGAAGGCTCGGAGAAGGGCTGCGACCATGCAGGCGATTGATCGAGGTGACGCTTGGCACACATTGTGCTGAGGCCATGAGGTTTGTGGGGTTTTTTCTTCCTCCTTTCCCATGACAGTCACTTTACTTATTGCCTTGTTTTCTGTTTTACTGCACATAATGTGTAGTTTAGTAATCCATTGCCATTCTCTGTTCCTAGCCCCTATCAAGGTCCTGTCACCCTCCTTTCTGGCAGAGGCAGACCTGAAAGATTGTTCTTGCAGGTTGTGTTCTTACTAAATGCTCCTTTTCTATAATTTTGTCTCTTAGACTTGGGCTTGAAGTAGAGTTAGCATCTATAAATGTTCTAGCTCACAAAATTCCAACTTGATAGTGGCTAAATGTAGTTACTTTGAATAGGTCTCTAAAGACGTGATTTAGTTCTGGGGATATTTTAAAGGGAAGAGCCTTCTGTTTCTGAGTGTGAATAAAAAGAGCATTTAACTTTGCTGTTATAGCTTAGTTAAATAAAAGCACGTGCTCTTTCAGTGAGACCTGGGGAGGGTTTCTTTTGTCTTTAGCCCACAAGTCTGTTACAGTGGTAAATTGGGGAAAGAACTGCAAGCCAAGCAGGCAGCCAGGCATCTCGAGCATCGCACCTTGTTCTCGGATGATATGTTGGCAGCAGTGTTGCATTGATGTTAGCAGAGTAATCCTTGCACGGTGTGCTTCAGCAGATGCATGCTGTGAGCCATGAGAAACTCGCTTTGTCCAGCGGTTCTGATTTCACACATGCTAAGCATCAACTCCTAAAAATCATCTCTCCAGGCTACTTGTTGAGGCTGTAATGTGTGAAGCAACGTTGGAGTCAGAGTAAAGCCCGAAGTTGGGTTGTGATTTGTAGGAGTGGAAAATGGTGATGATGCTTCTGCTGATCAGTTTGGCCGCCCGACCCTTAAGACCACGTTACAGCCATCTCTCTGCCTTTTGTTGATGGACCAGCCACATCAGATTCCTGCACTCCCGTGGACTGGGTTGGGGCTGGGCTGGATGGGGTTGGCTGTGTCTGAAAGCCTCAGCACAGCTGCAGGGGTGTCGTGCCACGCGTGGAAAATTAAAGCATGTTTGGAGTTGTCTCTGATAGCAGCATCGATCTGTGTAATAACAATGGTCTTCTCATTTTGCCTCCACAGAAATGGAATCGGTTTGGAATTTGCAGAAGCAAGGTAAGGGTATTGGAAAAAAATAAATAAACCAAATTGCCCTGTCCTGCTCTGTTGGGATGGTTGATGGCAGTGGGTTGTCTTGGAGTCCAGGGATGCCTGAGTTTAGTTCTTCAGTGCCTGCTATTTTTAGTCTAGGTGTGTCTGTGTTTTGGATCTCTAAAAGTCAGGACTGCAAGCTTTGCCATAATGGTGGGATGTTCAGAGAGAAGCAGAGTCTCTAAAAGAGCAGTAAAACCATTGTCACGTTAGATTTAATGAGTCTTCCCTATGTGTATACAGAATTGCTTTCTATTTCTGGTGTTGGGTGTCACACCTAAGAATAAATTTTAAATTCTGGTGGATCCCCACCATTCACCTGTGAGATGTTCCACTTTAGCCCGTGAGAAGGGCGGTGTGTGGAGTCTGGGATACTGCTGCCCAGGGGTGTGAGGTGGGGAACGGGCACTGCGCCAGCCTCGGCCGGGGCCCCCCAGGCTTTTGCAGGAGGTGGTGTCCCTGGAAGGAAAAGTTGGTTAACTACCTTGTAGATCTCTTGTGAATGTCTTCAGGCAGAGGTCCTGAAAGTAGCTTGTTGAATGAAAACTTAGGGTTTTGCTTTCTTTCCAGATCCCAAAAGGATAATCACTTACGATGAAGCCATGGATCGCCCGGATCAATGAAGGTAGCAAGACGAGACTGCCTGTTATAACCTTTCTGCAGCATTTGTGCTGTTCGTGGGGGACAAAAGGCTTTTATGCTCCTTCTAAATCTTCAGTGCAGCAGAGGAACCATAACTAGAATCACAGGATAATATATACAAATATATATATAGTTATTTAAAAATGGCAACTGAAAGTAATTAGACTTCTTAAGGAATCTGAAAATTTATTTCAACGAGACTACACACGTGATTATTTAATCTCCGGTACTGAATAGAATTTTTTTGTTTTGTTTTGTTTTTGTTTAAAGAGTGAATGCAAGTGATTAATGAATACAGACTCAATTTACAAGCCCGGTTCTAAAGTTCCTGCTGTCGTCTACATGGGCAACAGCAACCCGCTGGAGAGGCATTTCCACTTGACAAGGTTTCTGTTTCTTGTTCTGTGACTGTAGTGACACACTAATCACAGGGAAATCAGGATGATTCACCATCCTTCATCTCCCCTTTCCCTTCCACCTCCCCTATTTGTTTTTTGTTGTTTTTTTTTTTTTTTTTTTCCTGTTTTGTTTTCCATTGAATGCTGGAGAAACGCCTTGAAGTTTGCAGTTGTTTTGTTTCGGTTTTTTTTTTTTTTTCCCAGAGAATTATAATCCACATGTTTTGCCAGGAGTAAAGCAGCAACCCTATGCTGGGGATATTGTTTTAAAGCATCATTCTTCTGGGGGAAAGATGGTAATATTACAGTTCTAGGATGCATGGTGAAGTCACACAGTTGACCTGGCTCCGGTTACTCATTGGACTATTGCATCTGAAGAGTTACTTCATTTTAAAAGACAACATGCAAAAATAAGCAGTCTGTTTAGGCATTTAATATGGAAAAAAAACAACAAAAAAAACATTGTTCCCACAGTTTAATGCCATTGTATTAGTGGGAGCAAAAAAAAAAAAAAAAGTATCTTCTGCTTTCAACTGTAGGTGCTTCATATTTCTCTGTCTGTCTCCTAACACTAAATGTGCTGGATTTTTTTTCCCATTTTCATTGGAAAACTGAAGAGGAATTGAGTTCTGCTAACTTTCACCCTTCTTGAATTATTTTTTTTCTCTTGAACAAAAAAAATCAAAATTAAAAAAAAACAAGGAAAAAAAAAAAAAAAAAGGAAAAAAAAAATGGGAATTTGAATCCTTTTCAATTTGTCCATAGAAGGCCAATGGCTGGGCTTCCCACACCTGCCCGTTGGAAATGCTCTTTTATATTTTAATGCAGTCTGTGTATTTCCGGGCTCTGCTTCTAATTATCTCTTAATAAAAATATATTTTATTACAAAAACGGAGGACTTAGGATTGAAAATAACAATTTAAAAATTCAAAAAAAAAATAAATTCCAAGGAAAGGAAAGCTTCCTAGCAGTGGTAGAGAAGGCCCCAGCCGTGTAACCCACTCTGTCCCATTGCAGCTTGTGTAGTGCGTCCAGATTATCTTGGGGTTGGGTAGTTTTTCTGGGTTTCTTAACAGGTGGAAAGTTCACAGGGTCCAGTGTAAGAGCGAGCAATGAATGAAGCAAAAGTGGGGTTTGTGACCTGCCCCAGCTCCACACGTACCCAGTGCTCATCGTGGGTGTTCGTGGCCAGATGCTGGTTTATGTACGGCGGGTGCCAAGGCCAGCAGCAGTTGGAGGCTCCTAAAATTAGACTGGACCCTATGGGGCATTACAGGAAGCAGATAAGCCCGAAACTCTTGCCTACCCCTTGTGCTTAGATTTATCCACTTCTTTTTTGTTTTGTTTTGTTTTTGTTAGCTAGAAGTATGTAGCATGTGGGGTTTTTTTTTAATTGTTTTTGTTCTTTTAATAAGATTGTTCCTGAATGAAACGCTTCAATTCATGGTGGGACAATGAAACTTAATTCTGTATCTTTTGTAAGATTGCTAGCTTTCTGCCACGCTTAGTTTTACAAGTTTTGACTATGGATTGCCTACTCCATTTTATGTATAAAATACTATATAGTATAATACTGTAGTGTAATACTATATAGTAATCATGTATTGTATCAGTCCAGGTTCAGAAGTGTGTGGTTGGCCAGTCACAAATAGTTCTGTTTCACCTATAAACTGTACCACCTTTGCAGGTGTGTGTAACTTGCAGATGTATAACATGTTTACAGATGTGCCCGACACCTAGTCCTCCAACGTTCCTATTTTTAATTCTGTTGAGTCTCCCAACTGCTTGCCAAAAGTTTGGAATCGCCTCCAGCTCCGCTGTGGAAGAGCTGGGGCATTCCTGAGCTTTAAAGTGTTGAACAAACTGGACGGTGGGACTGGGGAAATTAAGGTGGAAGAAATGTTCTTTTTTTATTATTATTATTATTATTTTGAACAAGTTGAAGGGTAATAGCAGTGTTTCCAGTTTGTTTTACTGGCTTTAAGGCTCTGCTGTGTATTTGTTTGCCTTGTGTAGTCACTTGTCGCCTTAAGGGCTGGGTTCCATTAAAAAAAAAAAAAAAAAAAAAAAAAGGAAAAAAGAAAGAAAAGAAAAAAAAAAAAAAAGACAAAAACAAATCCTGTTTTGCTTACCTGGGGTCTGTGCTGTCCTGGTACCCCTGCCCCCCCGATCCGCTCTCGGGGCTGGCCCGATGCAGAAGCTGCACAGCAATAACCCGTGCTGAATCTGACCCCGCGCCTTTAGAAAGACCCGAGTCTTGCTGGCTATTGGAGGATGCTCGTCCTGGCCTAGTCCGGTTTGTCTTCTAAATAGCAAAAGAAGTGCTGGAAGGAACACGGTTCAAGGGACGGGTTGGGTTGGTTTTGTCCCTGCTGCTTTGCCTCGCTGCGCGTGGCCCCTTGCCCACGGGACCCATCCAGAAAAACACCCTCTGCAGCTTCTCTGCTGTATTTCTGACCATCCTCTCTTCAAACGTCTGTCTGTCCGTCTGTCTCCATGAGCGCTGCGGCGCGTGCTCAGCGCTAAGCAGTTAGGAAATCCTCTCTCTGAGCTCCTGGAGCTCCGGCTTGCCGGTGCAGGCAATATTTCTAGGATAGACTATTGCCTAGAGCCAGGCAGGACCGTGGAAGAAACTTCCTCGTGCTGTTGTGTAACTCACCCTGTTGCTGTCTGCAGTCCTCCCGAAGTCCTCACACAATTCTTTACTGAGCACTTATTAAAAATATCTTAAGATTTAATCTGTTTTCTGATTATTTTTGTGTAAACTTATATAAAAAAAAAAAAAAGGGGGTGGGGGGGGGGAAAAAAAAAAAAAGAAAACCCTGAAATTGAGCTGTGACTAATTTAGCACATTTAAATAATGCTAAGGTGTTACTGATAAGTCTCATGTTTTGTTTTTGTTTGACTCAGAGTACTAGTACTGTAGCATAAACCAAATACAGCCCGGGAAGGGGTGCAGCAGCCTCCTCTCCCGGGTCTGCACCCGAGGGTGTTGGTGCGTGCGGGGGGCAAGGAGCATCTTTCTTGCGTAAGGAGAGCGAGCGTGTATTTATTTGTGCCATTGTTTTCATTACACTGAGTAAAGTACGTTTTTAAAACATAAACCCTTCAGTAGGTGTAGTATCAGAAAGTGGCACCAAGGGTTGAGATCATGACCTATTTTTTTTTTTTTTGTTAGCTATGAAGATACTAATTCAGGTTAAGGTTTCTCTCATTTCTGTTGCCGTTGTGGGTCTGATGAGTCCCTTTCCTCTGGTTCCCTTGCCAAGCTGTCTATTTATTGGAGTAAGGATTCCTGCACGGGCAGGGGGCTCTCTCCTTTCTCCTCTGGTCTTTCTCCACCGTTCCTGCTCTGCTGGCAGGTCCTGCCCCTTGTTTCTTGTACAGGGTCTGGTGTAACGGGGTCTGGGGTGTGTACCGCCAGCCAGATCCAGCACGGGATCTGCTTTCTCTTCGGTGGATTGGGGAGTGTTTCCTCCGCTCCAAGAGATGATTTAAAAGCTGCTCCCGTCTCCGGTGATGGTGGTTTGGAGACCTTCAGCCTCTGTGCTCCCTCCCACCCCGCCGGTCTGGTGGCCTGGCAGTGCGATGGCTTTCAAGGTTTGGTTGGATCTCGGTTGTGATTTAAGGTCATCCATGAAACCTGTTTTTGTTGTTAGAAATCTCTCTCTCTGACAATGTGGATTGCTCCAGGGCATGGATTCTGTCGCTAACCCACTTCAAGCCATCGCCCTTTCTGAACTGTAAATCCCGCTGTTTGCCTTTTGTAGCTGCTGTGAACTCCTTTGATATGTGGAAATGGAAAAAAACCCTGATTCTCATTCGGCAGCTGGGAGCGGGTGACAGGGTGAACCGGCTAGCTAAATCGAAAGGAAAACTGCTTCCTGATAGGGGGGAAAAATAGGGGGGGAAAAAAAAAAAAGAGAAATGGAAGTTGTCCTTTCAGTTGTGTGTGTAATTAGTGCTTTTCACCTTCAAGAGAGCATTACCGTGGCACGATAGCATCCTTTCCAGAAGTGGTCGATGACCTCAGGGACATCTGGGAGCGATGGCATTCACAGACATGTTTCAGAACTGCTGGTAGTTTTCCTGTGTGTTCAGGTTTTGCTCTTGATTCAGCATTTTCAGTAAATTGCTAAGGTGTCTGAAGCTTTCAGGCCTCTCGTCCCTAGAAGATTTTTCTGTACGTACGTCCACAGTGATTTGTTTTCTTTACAGAGGCTGTTTACAAGGGAGATGGTCGAGGTCAGGAGGGGAGAGAACGGGGCTACACCTAATTTAAAGCTGCTACAGGTTTTCACACCGGCGCGCGAGGCAGGAGGAGGGCTGGGGCTGGAGGAGCGCTAGCGTGGTAGAGTAGCCGAAGAAGCCAGAGTAATTCTAGCTTTGGCCACCATGAGAGTATTTTTTCCATGCAAAAAGAGCCCCTGGCGCAGGCAGTTGAGAAGCAGGAACCTGGGCTGGTGCGAAGGAGCAGAAGATCCCGGTGTGCGCTGCCGGACGCGCTGCCTTCCAGAGATTCTGGAGCTTTAGACGTTTGCACAATGCGTGTTACACCACAGGGTAAGGCTGGCTTCCTCCTATCCTGCCCGAGATCCTCCGGCCCGGCGGACGTCTGGGGAGGTAGAGGAGAGCTCGGGGTGGGCTTGTGCTGGTGGCACGAGCCCCTCGGGGGGACGCTGCGGGGGGGGTCGGGCTGCTCGCTGTCCCGGGACAGGAGCAAAAGGCATAGCTGTGCTTTCCCCGGGGGGTGCCGAGCTGTATTTACCTTGACTGTTAATCAGAAAGCTTCGTATAACGTGTCCAGAGCTCTAAAGCCATTTTGTAAGATAGCAGTATCCCTTTTCCACAGCCTTATTAATGAGTAGAGTATCTTTAAAAAGGAAAAAAAAAAAAAAAAAAAAGAAGTTCATTTCTTTCTGTGGTATGAAACTTGTGTACTGCAAACATATGAATGTTTAGCAAAAACACAACTACATTTTCTTAAAAAAACAACAAAAACCCAAAAAAACTGTCTGCTTTCCATACGGTCTTTCCTCAGGTGCTAAATAAGGGTTCCAAAAACGGATACTGCTTTAGGAGTTTCTGCTTTATTCTTAAAATACATATTTTTTTGCTTAGGTGTTGTAAAGATATTTTAACAAGAATGTTTTTTTAATGTAAATAAGATTGTGTCTTTAATTTTTGTTTTATCTCCTTTTTGTCTATATTGAATAGTCTAATTTTCATTTTATCCTTTTGAGAAGGACCCTCTTATGACCTTCCTTGAAGACATTTCATTAAGTGTTGCTGCATTTAAGAACGAATCTACAACTGTTCATTGTCTTGGATTAATGCTGCTGCTGCTATAAGTAACCCTGAAAATCAAGAATGTGTGATGCACTTTTTTTTTTTTTTTTTTTTTTTTTTTTTTTTTTAATTTACATGACCATACAGTTCCTCTGCGGATGGTTGAACCCTCCTGTGACACAGCCACTAACTCTGCGGGTAGCGTAGGACCTGGGGAGCCGGGGTGTAGGAGAGGGGTGTACCTGATTTTGGTGCTGACCTATGGGAATTTCTATGCAAACGCAAGCAAAGGAGAACTCTTAACTTTGAAAGAACACTGTGCATTTTTATTTTATTTTTTTTTTTCTCTCCTTCCTTTTCTCAAGCTGCTATTGGGAGGGTAGTGCAAATCCCCGAGGTTTTCAACTTCTCCTTCCTCGATGGCCGGTGGTGTGGGAAGGATGCCTGGGTAGATGTAAGGTAGAAGAGTCTCAACTGTTGTCTCCGCTTTTAATATTTTTGTTTTCTATTTGAATCTGTCCATGGAAGGAAATTGCTCATCTCTGCAAAAAGGTCTTTTGAATGCTTTATCTCAATGTGAAGATAACCAGCAGTATTACAGGTTTCATGGCCTCCCTCCTGCCTGCAGCCCCGGCCCTGCGGGGTCGCGGGCTCCTCCAGCTGCACTCGGGTGCTGGGGAGCGGCTGGTGCCCAGAGTCAGATGTTTTCTGAGAAAAAAGCGAGGCCAGGCCATCTACCCAGCTGAAACCAGACGGCTGAGGCGTGAAAACCCACAGTTTAGGGAGCAGCGAGGCGCTGCCGCGGGGCACGGGCAGCTCCAGAGCCTCTTGTTTCATGGGTCACACCTGGACCACCGTGGGGGGATGTGTGCTGTGAAGGAGGAGTTTATTGGAGAGGAAAAAAGGGAATTTACTTGACTATTTATAGATCCTTTACAAGACAGAGTACCTCTGTAAAGTGAGGGAAGAGTAAGAAAGGTCTAAAGTAATGTAGGAAAAACGCTTGGAGATTGTAACAGCCTGGAAAATAGTATTTAAGTACCCTAGGCGAGAACTCTCTGCCTGTGGAATCAGTTTATTCAGCACCGGTTTTAATTTTCAGCCAGCGTTTGCTCTTCTACACACATGGGAGTGTGTGTACATCTGACTCAATGTGCCTTGCGTGCGTGCTTAAGTCTTTCTGGAGAGAGTTTGTGGTGGTGTGTGAGCTGCGGGGAGGTGGCCGGGCTCCCGGCGGGCAGCACGGTGACCGTGCCCCATCTACAGCCGAGGGCTCGTTACTGTCCCGGTGACCCACCGGATCCACGCGGGACGTGGGCTCGAGCCTGCGTAGCGGCTGGCTTACAGTTTGGGGGCGATGTCCTGTGGGGTGGCACCTTCCCTTCCCTAACACAAGCCGTTTTTCTGTGACTTTGGAGGGGAGGGGTGAGGGGAGAGAAAGAGAAGCTGCTTTGCCTGTTCTGCAGACAAAAACAAGCATCGCCGTGCTTTGCCAGCAAAGCCAAAACAAGCGGAGGTCTGGAACCGGCTTTGCTCTGGAGTTGGGGCTCTCTGCAGCACCGGGGATCCTCTTACCCGGGGGATTTATTCCCTTCCAGCTTGTGGTTCTTGTTACTGTGGGGTTTTTTTCTTCTTTTTTTTTTTTTTTTTTTTTTTTTTTTTTGTAAAGGAGAAGTAAACATGCCTTGCTTAAAGTTAACAAAATAGAAATGCTTGTTTGCAGTCAGTGACTCAGAATACGAAGCTGTGCAATTCTTGTTTCTTCATCTCTCTCCCGATTCACTCGCCCCAATGTGTGATTTCTGTCCGAGTCTTTCTGTACTTCTGCCACTGTAAATGTGAAAGCTTGCTTGCATTATTTTTTAGAAATGCATTTTGCACACTCGGGTTTCGCTGAAGCTCCGTGAAGAGGTTAGTTTGAAGCAGATGAATAAAGCTATGCACATGTTTTGAAAGTTTAATTTGTGTCTCATTACCAGAAGTGACTTATCTGCCCTCTTTTGCATTCCTGTGCTGTCATTGCCTGCATTATCTTCACCATCTCGGAGGGTATGATGTAAGGTGACAGTTCTTTGCTGACAGCTGTAGCAGAAAACTGGCGCTTCTTGATTTTTTTAGTAGCCTCTCTCCTTTGCTTTCTCTGTATCTCTCTGTATAGCTATATAAATATATATATTATTTTTTTATTTTAAAGAGCCTACTTTAGTAATCGAATTGGAGGGAGCGGGGTGTGCTGGCTTGTGTTTCAGATACACTTCGTACTGTCGGATGAACGAGTGCCCTTTTTATTGTGACGCTGGCGGTGCCCGGCGGGCGCCGAAGGGGCCGGGGAGCGCAGGGCTGGGCCCCCGGCGAAGCAGCTTTGGGGAGGGGATGGCGCTCGGTCCGCTGCGTCGCGGGCTGGTGGCGCGAGCGAACGTGAAGCTTCTAATGACCAAACGAACCGAAGAGACCCCCCTGCCCTTGTGTGTTCCCACTGTGAGGCGGGAGGGACGGGCGTCCTCGCCGTCCCTGCTGCGGGAGCGGAGAGGGGGCTCCTGCCGATCTCGGGGGCGAGAGCTGGGGGGGGTTTTTTTTTTTTTGGTTTTGTTTTCACGAGTTGGGTGCATTGCGTTGCAGGTGCCACCTTGGGAAACTTGTTGCTTAGCCCAGAGCCTTTGCGCAGGAGAGTCGGGATTTTGTGATGGGAGAAGGACCCTGACAACTTTCTCCTCGTGTTCCCTTCGCCATGGCAGAAATTTGTACTAACTTGACAGCTTTTTTTCATACAGAACAGGGCTGCTTTTCTATCTACCATCACACGTGTACTTAACACACCTTCAGCGGCTCGCGAGCCTCTGGAGGTCCTCAACTTGTTTACTGGGGGGGATGGATGCCCCTTCTCCCCCACCCTCCCCTGAATATTTCAGTGTTAAGGGCGGCGCGAAACACGACCGCGAGCAGGGGCAGGGGCCATCTCCTCTCCTGCCCCCCCCGCCCCGTCGATAAGTTCTCATTTCGTTCGGTTTCCTGGTGTGTATTAAAAAATCGCTGCGAGGGGTTGTGCTCTACCTGCTCAGGAGCTGAATTACCTCTGACCTGCGGAGAGGGGCAGCCCCTCTTTGTTGTCGGTGTTGTAGTGTGCGACCACACGAATCAGTAAAGGTAGTCTTTGTTTTCTTCTCCCCTCCCCGGTATTTCCGATTAGGTTAATGCACTCTTGTGTGCCCAGCTGGAAACGTAGGCGTTTTCCCGGTCGTGAGAGGGTGGCTAGAAGAGTTAGTGTAATACCTGCTGTAGCTGTGTCTGGCGCAGCCCCTTGCGCTGGTATGGGTGATGTCATGGACTGTAAGGATAGGTAATGTCCATGAGCTGTAATGGCATGATGTATCTTTACCAATGATGTCATACTTCACACTAAATGTTTTAAAAAAAAAAAAAAAAAAAGAAAAAAAAAAAGTTACCTGAAATTTTGTTTATTCTGCACCAACTGGTCTTCGAAATTTATCCAAATTTTATTATTTTATCAGGAAAAAAAAAAAATTGTGTAGATCGAATACGTTAAGACAGACAATAAGTGATGTAAATTGTTGAATAAAAATTTTAAAGTTTGTGGGTGTCAGTGTGACTTTCTTTTTTGCGCTCTCGGGGAGCATCCCTTGGCCCCGGGGGTGCTGCGTGGCTGACGACTCGGCTTTGGTGCCCGGGGGCCCGGCGGCGCTGGCCACGGAGCCCACGAGTGGCATGAGTGCCTGGGGACGTGGGTGGCCGTGGGGGCGGGGGTGTCCTTTACCCTGCCAGGGGAAGGGGAGGGCGGGGAGGAAAGGAAGCCCCAGGCCCGCCGAGCTGCAGCGACCGAGGGTTTGGCCGCTGTGTTCGTGTGCGCGCAACGGTCGGGGGATGGACCTGCCCCCCCTGCTACTGGGACGAGGACGCGCAACTCCAAACCCAAACACACAACATCAAACACCCGCCAGGCCGGTTTATCTTTTTCTTTCAGTCACATTTATTGGCAGTTGTGCAGTTGGTACCATTTGGGAGTGTCGTTCCGTAAGCGGGTGCAGTACAAGAAGGGGTGGTTATTTCGGGAGGGGAGTATTAGCACCAAAAGGGAGCCGGTCAGCTTTAGAAACCTTGCAGAGATGTACTGGGAAGTGGGGAGCTACTGCTGGACACGCCTGATGGATTGGATCTGGGAGGTCTGGGCGTGTGAACCCCACTCTCTCCAGTGCTTGTAGTCTCCTCCATGGTGGTCGGACTCCAGGACGTACTGGTAGCCGCGGTACCCGGGATACTGGTAGCAAACCCAGCTGGAAGGAAACGAGTTGTCAGGTGGCGTAAGGAGGACAAGAGGTAAGCAAGGGGGTTACGGGGTGTCGTGTGTGTCCCCCCTCCGGCTGTGGTAGCACAGCGATGGCAGCGCTTTGTCCCTGCTGCCCGTGGCCCTTTGCCAGTCACTTACGCGCCGCACTGGATCTTCATGGAGCCCACTTCGTTGTTGGCCCAGCCCATGGCCTGCAGCGAGGGGTAGTCATCGCCTATCTCCCACTGGCGGCCGATGAAGTTGTCTTTCTCGAAAACGGTGATCTTGGATTCCTTGTGATTCTGGGAGGGGGGGGGGGGGGGGGCGGGAGGAAGAGGAAGGGGTGAGGAGGAGGTGGTGCTCGGAGGGTTTGCTGGAGAGAGAGGTGTTCAGACCCTGTGCTGTTTTTGCGGGGGGAGAGGGATGGTTTTCCCAAAGCCCAGCTGCGTGGAGGTGCTCAGCAGAGCGGCGCTGGGCCAGGATGGGGCAGGGGTTGGCCTGGGAGGTGTCAGTGACAGCTGTGCCACAGCTACAGACTCAGGCTGGCTGTCCCCCAGCTCTGCTCGTGTACAGCTGGCCCCTTGGAAGTTTTAGCAAACAGGACAGAAAGAGCAAATCGTGCTGGGCATGGAGAGGGAGAGCGGAGCCCACCCCGAGGAGCCTCTGCCACCCGCAGAACCCCTGGCGTCGCTGTGTTTGCCCTCCCTAACCTCACACCCTTGGCCCGGTGCCGTGGCCTGGCACATTTTGATGGGATCAGAGCCGTGAGAGCTCCGTGGGAGCCAGGACACTCACAGCGGAGCAGACGGGGCGGAAGGACATCAGGCGCTCGATGTGGTAGGCGTTGCTGCCGCTCCAGGCGTCCCAGCGTGGGTACTCTCCCCTCTCCAGGATGAACTGCTGCCCGCAGAAGCCGGTGTGCTCGTAACCGACCCAGCTGCAAAAACAGAGCCAGGGATGCCAGGGCTTCCTGCGGCAGCTGGGGGCCTCCTGCTCGGGCCTGGCACCGGGGCTCGGATGTAGGTGTGGGGAGGAGGTTGGGGTCTGGCCTCTGCCCGCGAGGCCGGGAGGAGAGGAAGAGGTGCTGGGTGTGAAACTGGTGTCTGGGATACATCCCCCAGCTGCGGTGGGTGTTGGAGTCCCTCCCTCAAGGTGCCGAGCCTGCAAGGGTGGTTCGCTTTTCCCCTAACTGCTCTGTGGTTAATCACGCAGATCGGCATTGTGTTAGGATGCCACAGGACATCCGCGGCCGCCCTTCACTCCCAAAGGCCTCGTTTCTTACTTGTTTCCCAATTACAACCTGGCACAGCTGGAAAGACCTGAATTCCTAATGCCCAAACCAAGCAGAACCCATCTGGCTCTGGGCAGGGCCAGGAGCTGCTGTCTTTTCCCTTTCTGAGTCCCCCTCTTCACTGAAAACAAACAAGGAGAGGTGAGAGGGATGCCACCACCCTGCACGACACATTTTGCAAGCCCCAGCGCTGCCCACACGAGCCTGTCCCCAAAGTCAGGACCTCTCCTGGGCACGTCCCCTTACAGGGGATCGGGGAGGCAGAGGTTGGGCTGGGGGCTGGGAGCCGGATGGAGCAGGCTGTGCAGTTCGTGTCCCCCCTGCTTATGGGGTACTGGGGGTGCTGAGGGGCACGCCCAGCTGGGGGGCAGTTTGAGGGCCTCTTGCCACTGACCAAAACTGAGCCCCGATCCCCTGTCCTGCAGTCGGCCTCCCCCCCGTGCAAGGTGACCAGCCTGATTAGGGACCTGTCAACTGGAGCAGCGAGCTGATTACGGCGTGAGCACGCATGCCGCTGTAATCCCATTAGCGTTACAAATCCTAAATATAGCAGCGCAAATCTATCTTGTCTGCTTCCCCGGCCCCAGAAGGATGCTGGCCGTGGGGACCGCTCCTTACACACAGCGTCTCGGAGCAGCTCGGGAGGTGTCTTGCCTGTGCCAGGGAAGATTCCCGTGCGCAGGGAGAAGCCCGGCTCTGCTCCCTACCCCTATCAGCAAGTGGGGCAGCCCAGCGCCGGCTGCGGGAAGGGGAAGACTCTGCTCTGGCCCCGGGGGAGCTGCACGGTGCAGGGAAAGCCTGAGGCAGAGTGGGGCTGGGCGGTGGGGCGAGAAAGGTGCTTCTCTAGGCACGGTGCTTCCTGGCGTTACCCAGGCAGGATGGGGACCAGGCTGAGCTCAAGAGCCGCTCGCCCGATCGTCGCTGCATCCGTGGGCAGCATCCCTGCAGGGCACCGGCGAGCTGCAAACCTGGCTGCTCCCAGGCTGCGGGAGGCAGCTTGGGGCGATGCCAAAGGCGTTGGCCGCCCGTCCTCCGGCCCTCTGTGTGTCAGTGCTGCCCAGGGCTGGCTGCTCTACCCCGCCAGGGTGGGATCCCCCAGTGCCTGGCTTCCCCCCCAGCTGAGCAGAGCAAGGACAACCGGCCTCGCTCCACATTCCGGCACCCCTCGCCCCGCCAGCCCGCCTGGGAAAGCGGCCCCCGCTGCTGGGTACTTACGCGCCGCACTCCACCTTCAGGGAGCGGATGTTGTCGAAGCCGCACTCCATGATGTTTGGACAGGCAGAAGTGAATTCCATCCTCTTGCCCTGGAAGTTTTCTTGGTCGTACACGGTGATCTGGAACGGAGAGCGAGCTGCCGAGTTGGGAGCTGCCCGGCAGTGGCCCCAGGCAATTCAGCGCCTCTTTGGGAGACGGAGGGTCATGCTCCGTCCGGGGAAGAGCCGGTGGAGGCTGCACCGGGCGCCCCTCTGGGCTGGGACACAGCCCCGCACGCCTCTGCGCGTCCCTGCACTGCTGGCCCCGTGACGCCCTGCCTTGGTGTCGGGGGAGCCACACGCCGGCCCCCGCTCCGCTCTCCTGCTCACCCCTGCAGAGATCAGTTCCCGGGGCAGCTCTGCCGTCCGGAGAGAGGAGCGGAGCCGTTCTGGGACGGGCTGGTGGCAGGGCTGTGGCTGGCGGTTCTCCCGGCCTCTGCTCCGAATGCTCTAGGGCAAAGAGGATTAACGGGGGGAAAAGGGCGAGGGGGGATCTCCCCAGGGGGTTGTGGCTGACGCTCTCCTCTCCCACGACAGCTCCAGGGTTCGGCGGGGTGCGCCCCGCTTGTTCACGTGCTTCTCCCCTCCCTCTCCGCTCCCTCCTCAAATTGTGCTCCCAGAGCTGCTGCCAGACCCCTCGGGGCTGCTCCCCACCTTGCTCAGCCGTGCCCACCGCTCCCTTTGCAGCCCTCGTGCCTGCCCTGCCAGCCTGCCTGCCTGCACCGACAGGGAAGGGCAAATAACAGCGTGTGGCTTTTGGGGACAGCTGTAACTGCCTGGCACAGGACGACTAGGAAGAGCAGGGCACGGCTGGGCCAGGGCACTGCAAAGAGGCTGATGAAAAACACCCAGGAGGTGTTTCAGTTGGCAGGAGGCAAGCCACTGTGGGCACAGGATGAGGTGCCTTGCTTCCTGGGCTCCCCCCTGCCTCTCTGCCCGCTGTGCGGCTTTCCTGGCCCCGGAGGACCAGCTTTGCCCCTGTCCCTGTCTCCGACCTGCACACAGGGAAAGGTGAGATGCAGGGGCTGTGAGGACGTACCTTCCATGGGCCCATGGGGACAGGCAGAGGGTTTGTCTGAGCCATCTTTGCTGCTGGAACGGTGTCTGCAGAAGGAAGGAAAAGCCGTTTGTGCTGCAGTGTACCCCCTGCTCATCCCTGCTGCCTGCTGTGGGGCTGGGGGACGGCTCTGTGCCCTCCACCCACGGCACCTGTTTGAAGGCAGCTGCCCTGCCGCTGGGGACAAGCCATGCCAACTGTGACGAGACCCTCTTGCTAGCCACAGGGTGGGGTGGGGGCACATCACGGGGCTCCAGGACACAGCCAAAGCGGGATGCTCCCTTCTCATGGCTGCAGTGCCCCTTCCCTCCTCCCGGCCGTGGCGCGGAGCCTGTGTATGCACCGGGGGGGCACAATGCCCGGTTCCACTTTCTCTTTCCCCAAGGCCAGGCTATCGCTAGGAAAAACAGCCCTGAGCCAGAGCAGGGAGCTGCGGCGGTGGGCATGGGCTGTTCCGTGCTTGGCGGTGTCCAACCGACTCGCCTGCTCCCCTCTCCCTGCCCCGGCACCCTGGCTGTGCCTCCTTGGGAGCCACAGCGGGCCCCCAGGGGATGGCCCCGGCTGGTGGTGGGAGATGCCAACCGGTGTGCTGTGCCGGGGGCCAGGGCCAGGTGAGTGCCAGGAGTCGGGTGCCCCGTGGTAGAGGAGCTCTCAGCCACCCCGGCTGCCAGCAGGGACGTGTGAGCCTGTCTTTTGCCACGGGAAATGGTGACGGTCCCTCTGGGTGTCTTTTGCCACCGGGCAGGAGGAAGGGTGTCTGCCTGCCCAGCCGGCGGCAGCAGGGACGAGCAGGGGACAGGGCGGGAGAGGTGCAAATCGGTCCCAGGACTCACCTAGCTCAGGCGGTTACTGCTGCTTCGCCCATGTAATGTTTGCCTACTTCAGCGGCTCAGCTTTTATAGGGTGCTGCTGGCCGGGAGCCGGTGCCAGCGTTTGCAGAGCCGTCAGCACAATGCTTGCTCTGGCATTGTCCTGCTGATCCCCGGAGATTTCAGCTGCTCATCCCCATGGTCTGAGCCACATTCTTAGGGAAAAAAAAAAAAAAAAAAAAAAAAAAAATTATAATAAAAAAAAAAAAATAATCGGGGCGGCTGTTTGCACAGATAATCTTGGGCACAAATGACTCAACAGTTTGACCGCTCTGGCATTTTCCAGAGGCAATGCACCGCGCCATCATGGGGCAAGCGTGGGGGCCGGCCTGGCCCTGGCGCCGGGTGGCACGGTGGGGACGGTGCAGCACCCTCCCGGTGAGACCCCGCGGGCGGGGGGCTCGGCAGGGCGCCTGCTCCCTCGGCCGCAGCAGGACCCTGCCTCCACGTCGGTGCGGACACCCTCCTCCTCCCATGGCGGGGCAAGGCGGGCGGGGGGGGCTGCGGGGCCGCTCCTCGCCGCCCGACGGGGAGCTGGCGTGCGGCCTCGCGTTCATGGCCCAAAACCCCGGCTCCGCACAGCGCTGCCCACCGCCTGCGCCCCATTCCCCCGGGGAGGGGGAGCCGCCACGGGCCCGGGAGGCCTGAGGCCTTGAGGTAACCATGGCAACGAGGCACCCCTTAGGCCTCACGGTAACCACGGCGACCGGGTCCCCTCTTTTCCCCACCACGGGGGTCCCCCAGGGCCAGGGCAGGGTGGGCGCTGCGGGGTGCCAGGGTGGGCACAGGCCCGGGCCTTGGCGGGTCACGGGGCGAGGGCGGCGGCGCGGGCTGCTGCCTCAGCGCATGGCGGCCGGCACAATGCGCCGCCCGCGTCTGGCCGCCCCTTTTGTCTCCCCGCCGCGGGGCAGCCGGCACAAAACAAAGCGCCCCGTCAGCGCTGCCCGCGGCACGGCCTGGCACCCGGCCCGGGGCCGGGGGTGGGGGGGGACGGGACACCCTGGTGGGGGGCCGTGCTGTGGGGATGGCACCCACCCAGCCCGGCCCGAGGGGTGCCCGGCGGGGTCCTGCGAGACCCCTCCTGTGGAGCGGGGCTCCGCCATGGCGGGGAGCGAGGGGGAAAAGCGGGGGCTTGGGAGGGGGGGAGACTTTCTCCTCAGTGGCTGCTGCCACCCGCCGCCCCGGAGCCTGGGTGCGGCGGTTGCGGGGGGGGGGGACGGGGACGGGGTTTGGTGGAGATGGAGGGGGTCACTGGGAAGCAGAGCGGTGGGGCTGCACCCCGCCGGGTCCTGACACCGGGGCGCGCTGCCCGGCCGTACCGCCGCGTGCCAGCAAACGCGGGGTCAGGGAAAGAACGGGAAGGAGAAGGGGCCGCTCTGCCTTCGGCGGGGGCTGCCGAAACCGTGGGGCTGGCGGCGGGAAGGCTCCTGCAAAGCCCCGGGGGGGCAGCCTCCTCCCGCTGCGTGCACCCCTGAGTGCAAGGGTGAGGCCAGCCTGGAGCTTGTGTCCCCCCCCAACCCTCAGCTCCCTCCAGACCCTCGGACGTGCCCCGGCCATGGCTTTGCCAGGAGCCTGGTGCCACTAGAGGGAGAGCTCACCCCGAGCAGGCCGCGGCCGGCCCGCGCGGGGCGTACGGGGCACTGCACACCCCGCTACACCCCGCACTGGCTCCCCTTGCAACGGCCAAACGCCCGGTTCTGGCTGCAAACGGTCCCGAGGCAAAGCCTGGAGCCGGCTGCCACCCCAAGGCAGGAAGCGGGGTGAAGGGGGGAAGACGCCCCTGCGCACCCCACGTTGGGCATGGCCAGGGACAGGTCACCCTCACAGAGAGCAGGACCCCGGGGTGCTGCGGGCCCCCCAGCCGCTCTCCCAGCTCACACCGAGCGCTGTGGGCAAGGGACGTCCCCCCCCCACCTAGAGGACCTTGGGGGGGGGGGATGGCGGCGAGCGCTGAGGGAGCCACTGCTGCAACGATGCTGGCGGGTCCACGGGTTGCCCGGAACAACTGGTTTTTCTAGATCCCATAGACTATAAAAAAGCAGTGACCTATTTAGGAAACCCTGCGGTGCTGTGAAACAGATGCTTCCCCTCCCAGCCCCAGCTCAGGGCCCTCGCCACTCCAGCCAGCCGTCTGCACCTGCCGGGGGCACCGCGAAACGCCGCTGGCACCAGAACTCTGTCCCGCTTCTCCCTAGAAAGCTCCGAGCAGGACAAAAACTCTTGCTGGGTGTGGGATTTGCTGGTGAAACCCCACGCGGTGAGAGAGGGGCTGGCGAGGTCAGCCGGCATCTTGTGGACGTGGGCAGCTGGCCGCCTCGCTGGGAAGCACGGAGGGGTTTAGCCCTTGGGGAGGTGGCAGGGGGCTGGGGGGCTGCTTGTGACAGGGCTGTGTGAGACACCAGGGACCCTGCACTGCGCCACGGCTCGGCGGTTCCGACCGGCGTCAGCCCCCGCCACCGCCTGCCCAGTGCGATAAGGAAGCAGGAGCTGCCGCAGGCTGTAACCGGCTGTTCACCCGCCTGCGCTGGGTGAACAGGGCAGAGGTACAGTCGCACAACACGTCCCCCCGTCACCGCAGCCAGAAAACCCTCCCGGCCGCCGAGCCGGGGCTCTGCCTCCCCTCCCGCTCACCCATCCCCGTCCCTGCTCTCCAGCCGGCTGCAGCTCCCTGCGCTTGGCGCCACGTGCCTGGGACAAAGGGAAGTGTGACAAAAGCAGGCGGCTGTGCTCGCCGCCGCCGTCCTCTGCCGCTGCGAGGGCTCTGCCTCTCCCCCGCCTCCATGTCCCTCGGCCCCTTGCACGACTGCCGGCTCACCGTCGCTGTGCTCCCGCAGCTCTGCTGCTGCGTCGGGCACGTGCCGTGGGCTGAAAGTCACACACAGCCTTACCGCTGCGAGAGAAATGGGGCTTGTGACACCCAGGCAAGCGTGTCCCGAAAAGTGTGGGGGGGGTGACCCCGGTGCGTCCCCCAGTGTTCAGGGGGGTGATGCAGAGCTGCTCGGTGCTGAGAGCCGGGCGGCGGGGGACTTTCCCCCCCCCCCAACCTGTGCACAGCAAGGCTCAGCCTCCGGGTAGAGCCCAGCCCAGCACTGCTGCACAGTGCCCTGGGGCAGGGCAGGAGCTGTGGGAGGTGGCAGGGATGGTGATGAGGACAGCCCCCTGTCCCCATAGGTCCCTCTGTCCATCCTGAGCTTTCCAGCAGAGTCGAAGCGCTCCCTGAAAAGTGCTTTTGAGGAGAGCTTGTGGATGCCTGTTTCTGGGGTCCCTGTTCCCCAAGTAAGCCCCGCTCCACCTTCCCCAGGCTGCTGGGCCACCCACATCCCACAGGGTCCCCGGAGGTGGCCCAGCCGCTCCCACGTCCAAGGGAGGTTGTTGTCCCAGCACAGAGACGGCGAGGCTTGTCCCGAAACCATCCATCCTCGGGCAGCTGCCACCGGCCTCCCCGCTGTGCGCAGCCAAATCGGGGGGGGGCCCCCCCAGGATTTTAGCTGTATGTGAACGACCCCGCTGCGATGTCCCAAAGCTGGCTACGAGCGGGAGGGGTGCGACAAAGGCTCTGCGGCTCTCGCTGCAGGCCTGGCTGGGTGATGCTCACCGCTCATCACGTGCTGTCTCCCGGCCGAGGCAGCCGGGTTCCCCCAGCCCTCCCCGGGGACAGGCGGTGCGGGGGAGCAGCACCGGCTGCAAAACGGCTCCGCGGGCTCCTCCGCCACGTCCCGCTCTGAATTCCCCAGGCTCGGCCTGCGCAGCCGCCGGCGGGGGACAGGCCACCCTGCTCCCTCCCTGCGCCGAATCAGGCGCCGCTCGGGATGGGACCCTTCCGACAAGGGGAACCCCCAGGAGCGCGTGTGCGCGCCGGTGCGACGCGCGGGGCTGCGTGTGCACCCACGCGAGGGCACAACGCGCGCGGGTGGACTCCGGCGCGCGTGTTGCCTTGCGGGGTGAGGACAGGGGGTGGTGTAATGCGTGTTGTAGGGGTGTGCCACTGTGTGTGCGTGTGCTTACCGGGGGTGCCAGCGCACCCCGCGTGCGTGTGCAAAAGCGGGTGTGCGCGTGTGTCCCGGTGTGCGCGGCGAGGCGTGGGGGGGGGGGGTTGCGCACAACCGCAGTTGATGAGCAGGTTGGTGTGTTTGCGGGCTGGGTGTGCGCTGGGGGGGGTGGTGAGGGGTGGGTGTGTGTGTGTGTGTGTGTGTGTGTCACACCTGTACCCCGGCCCCCCGTGTCCATTCCGGGGGTGCTGCCGGGCTCACCCCCGGCCCCGTGCCGGTGCGCGGTCGCAGAGCGGGGCCGCGCCGGAGCGTTCGCGGGAGAACGGAGGCACCGCCGCACCGGGCCGTTTTAACCCGTTCCCGCCCGTGACCGAGCGGAGCCGCGCCCGGTGCGGCGGGCGGCGCGCGCACAACCCCCGCCCCGGTACGGAACCGCCCCGCCCCGCCCCCGCCCCCGCCCCCGCCGCCGCCGGGGCCCGGCACTGCCGCCGCCTGCACCGGGCCCCGCTTCGCCGCCGCTGCTGGGTGAGTACCCGCCGTGCGCCACCCCCCCCACCCCCGGTACCGGTACCGGCCCCCGGGGCGGGCGTACGCACCGCCCGGTGCACGGCTTTGGGGGGGGGGGGGTGTCTGCGTCTGCATCTGCATCGTCCCCCGGGCGGGCCGGGCCCGGCCCTGCGTGTGCCCGCGCCCCCGCGGCTTTGCACAACCGGGTGTGCGCGCGCGCGCGTGTGTGTGTGTGTGTGTGTGTGTGTGTGTATGTGCCCCCCCCCGCCCCGGTGTTACTGGGGGGGGGGTGTGTGTGCGCGCATGGCCCGCTGTTGTCTTGCGGTGCCTTGTGCATCCCCCCCCCCTCCCCGGTGTCTTGCAGCGTGTGCACACGGGTGTCTGTGTGTGTGTGTGGGAGCCCCCATTGTGTCACCCTGTGCATGCCACCCCCCCCCCCCCCCGTTGTGCTGCTGGGTGTGTTTGTACACACACACACACAAATACACACACCCCCCCCC